ATAATAATAATAATGATACCATAATGCTAAGTGAAATAAATTAGACATAGAAAGTTAAATATCACATGATTTGTCTTATAGGTATATGGGAAATGGGAAGAAAATGTTCAAATGAGAAGGAGAACAAAGGAGAGGGGAGGGGAAAAGGAAAGAAGAAACACAAAAAGAAAATAGAAGGAAAAAAATGGAAACAAGGAGGGGAGGGGGTTAAAGGGAGGGAAGGGCAATGGGAAAAAAAGAAGCAAGATGTATCATGTACAGGTAGAAATTTCCTTATGATGAATGTTATCATTATGTGTATCTAAAATGTACCAGTAAGATAAAAATTTTAAAAACCTAAAATATAAATAAATAAATGAGTAAAATAAAGGAGAGATGGTAGAAAGCCACAAGGTAAACTTTTGGAGATGGGAAAAAGGATCAGTGAAGGGAGAGATAAGGGGAAAGGGGGTAAAGTGATTGAAAATGATCAAGATATGTTATATGCATGTACCAATTCACCAAAACAAACATTACTATTATGTATTGCAAACTAACACTAATAGAAGAAAAGAGTTAAATTAAAAAAAATAGTTTAAAAATAGTTTTTAAAAGTTTCCAATTCTTCACCATGGCCTATAAGGCTCTACATAATCTAGCCCCTGTCTGCCTTTCTTCCCACTTTTACTATTACAAACTCTTCAGCCACATTTGTCAGTTCTGCTAAAAAAGGGAAAAAAAAACAAGAATACCTATTTTCCCCAAGGTATTCATTCTGGGGCTTCTGAGAAAAGTACAGAAATAAACCAGTCTCCAGGCCAACGTGACAGTCACTTAAAGAGAACTGGCAGATTTGTGAACCAAGCCTTGGTCTAAGAGACCAGCAGCAACTATAAGTCACTTGTTAGTTAGTGGATAGTCCCTATGAGGGGTAGAGCACCCTATCCACAGACTATGCCTGTGTAGCTACTACAGATAATCAGACATCTGTTTCATTTTCTAACTTTACTGAGTCTTTGGCATTAGGGTTCTTCTAGTTATTATCCTCATCAGTATAAGATCCACCCATTATTTTCTCAGCTGTAGCACTAGGGTCCCACAGTTCCCCATGTTTAGGACTCCATGTGCTTCATCTCTAGGAATATTTAAAAAACAGAGACAAATGAGTTGCTTCTACACATTAGCTAGTTCCCAGAAACTACAGCAAAAAGAGACTTGCTTTTGGAAGATAAATGCACTAAATTTGTTGACACTAACTTACAGTGGGGATTGTTCCAGGACTTGGCTAGCAGTGATTCAATGTCTTCCACATGGCCAAGAACAGAATGTTGTTCATTCCTAATTGTTATTGATTCTTCACATTAGAAGGTCAATAAGAGGACTAGATTGCAAAGTAGCTCCCATGTCCTTTGGGCCTAGGATAGATGTGGAATGTTGCATTCAAGAAGGGCTTTCAGGGCCAGGAATTTAGCTCAGTGGCACCGCGTCTGCCTCACAAGCACAAAGTCCTGAGTTCGATCCCCAGTACAAAAAAAAAAAATTAAAGAAGCCAGTTATTGCAAGAAAAAAAAAAGAAGAAGAGCTTTCAGCTGTTACTAAAGCTGGAGAAAACAATCTGGCTCAGACAATAAATGGAAACCCACACACAGACAGGACAAAATCCAAGGTTATGAATGAAGTTAAGGTAGTTTACCTGAGTATTATCTCCTTGGGGGGCTTTAATTCATCTCTTCCTTTGGACATACCTAGAATGCAAAGATCTGTTATTATTCTTGACCAAATAGGTAACCTTCAAGAAGCTCCTTGCAATACCTGAATTGGGCTTGGAACAAGGTATTAAGAGTGTGAAAAGCTTTCATTCTTTAAAGCTTTGAACATCTTTGGATTTTGTGTAAGTATTCCTATGACTTATAAAACTACCATGGGGAACACACTCAAAGAAATGTATCTTTCAGAATTAACACAGATAGCACATTTACTCCAGCCACCACTTTTTGAACAAAATTTAACTTCACAGACCAAACCATTTTATTTCCAACCAAACCACATTTTGAGGATAAGTGCAAGGCCTTTAAATTTGTATCTATTTCTTATCCCTATCACTCTCAGGCATCTAGGCACATCAGTGGGGTTTGAGGAATAGCCATGCTGATTTATTTCCTACAAATGATATCAATGTTGAACCTACTTTACTTTAGCAAGCAATTGTCTGTCCCCAAATTAGTTCCATACCAACTACAGCCTCTAACTCTCCAATATCCACCCCCGAATGCTCAGGAAATAGACAGTATCTGGGTGATATGACCCCTCCCCAATATCATAGGACCTAGAGGTCTCCAGCTGCCACTAAGCATTTGGCCTCCTCACATCAAAAGGCCCTGTTGCTCAGGACTTTCTAGCATTTTGGACTAATTACCCTGGTGAACAGAATGGATTATCCTCAGGGCTGGGGTATATAGCTCAGTGGAAGAGCATTTTTATTCCCCCATACCGAAAAAGAATGAACTATATTCCCATTTGGCAACTTTTATATTTATTTATTTTTGTGGCACCGGGTATTGAACCGAGGAACCCAGGGCCTTCACATCAAGCTACATCTCCAAGAATTTTGTTGTTTAAACAGTGTTTTGCTAAGCAATTCAGGCTGAGCTTGACCATATATCATCCTCCCAAAGTGCTGGGATTACAGATGCATATCACTATGCTTGGCTGATTGATTGATTGATCGATCAATCATAATAGAGTTCCACTGTATTTCTCAGGTTGGAATTGAAGACCTCTGCTTAAGCAATACTTCTGCTTCACCTTCCCCAGTGGCTGCCACAGGGCTGGCTATTTTATTTTTCTAGTACTGGAATGGAACCCTGGGGCATCTTCCCACTGAACTATCACCTCAGCCCTTTTTATTGCTAAGACTGGCCCTAAATTTGTGATCTTCCTGCTTCAGCCTCCCAAGTAGCTGTGACTACAGATGCATATGCCACCACACCCAGGTAAACTTAAATTCTGATTTGCCCCTTTAAGATTTCTTATATATGAGTTTGAAACAGAATGAAGCATTTCTGCTTTCTAATCCAGGCCTCCCTCAGCTTCCAAGGGCATCTGTGGAGTCCTCCTATAGAGCCTCTCTGACTTAACATTCTCCCTCAGCTCTCTATATAAAGAGCTTTTCCACATCATTCCTGTTATCTCACTCAATAGTTGTCTTTCACTCCTAGGAGGCCACACTAGTTCTAGTCCCCAAGAATTATCACAACTTGGCCTCCACTAAGATGAGCCCCAGCCCTGAGAAAACACAACCAAATGAGTATCTGAAAGAGCAGCCTTCTGGGGATGCCCAGTAAGAATTAAATAAAACTAAAACTATGCAGTGCCCCTACATGATAAGGAGTAATGGTGCAGCTGGATAAATCTTGGCAAAATAAAACTGACTCACAGCCACAGAGACCTTTCTATAAACCAAGTGGGAAAAGTCTGCAAAATATCAAGATTGGTCATAATTTATGTACACAGAATAAAACAAGCTATCTTTTCATGGACTGTGAAACTGAGAAAGAAAAAGACATATACAAGGTAGCACAGCAAGTTACAGGCAAAATCAAGGTCCTTGAAGGCCACATCAAGCCCCTAGCTCAAAGGATATGACTTAATGACATTTAGTCTCAATTTTTCTACCCAGCTAGTTTCTTAGGCATTTTAAAACAATATAGAGGTGTTTAAGAGGTAGATGTCATCATTCATGGGTAAAAAGTAAAGTCTGAATGAGAATCAGAAAGTTTCCTTTAAAGATAAATGCAAGGTTCTTAAGTTGGCATCCATTTCTTATTCTCCATCACTCAGTTTGTTCACAGACCTAAAATGAAAAATAAGCCCAAACAAGAAAGAAATAGAAAATCAAAGGGATTGCCAGCAGTAAGATATAGCTTTTTAACTGTCACTGACATGGAGCACAAGTGGTGTGTGGCCAAGGGAAGACTGTTGGGTCTAAAATCAGGCCTGGCTGCTTTTCATAAGTCCTCTATGTCATTAGTGAAGCTATCTCTCCAAAGACTAACTCATTTGACTTCTGAAAGTCCTCATCAGATTATGGCCACAACTGAGCAGTGTGTTGAAGAATGATTTGTTCTAAGAGAAATGTATGTCTGGAAGCCAGCACAAAGTTATTTGAATTTCTTCCTCGTTTTCAACTGGAAAATTTAGCCAGTAGTACATCAGGATGGGCAACTTAGAAATCAACCCAAAACAATGACATCCAACAGACTCAGCTCTTTCTTGCAGAAAAATTCATACACTGGTGCTTTCTGTATGAATAATTTTTTCAGAAGAACAAATACCTTGTTGGCCATCTTTCTTAATTCAAACAGCCTAAAAGCACCAACAACAAACCTGTTTGTTGACTTGCTGCAAAAGGAAGACTGGACAACAGAGGAGTTAGGCAGCAAGTTTCACCACATAAAGGACAAGGTAGTTATTATAGGATTGGGTGGAAGTGAAATTCAGATAAATGACAGCCTCAAAGCAAAGCAGATCAGTATGTAAAGGGGTCAACATGAGGATTAGACTGCAAAGCAGCCCCAAGCTCCTGTGTCCTTGGGGGTCCAGGGTAATTTGTGGAATGTTCTGCTTCTTGGTATCACAGTGACTCAGATCCTCCAATCAAGAGTAGCAGATTTCATATTACTAATATATGTGTTTTAGAGGACAGCATTTCTCAGTGAGTAAAAAGGTGCTGTTAAGAAAATATATTTTTTGACACTTCACAGCTGCAATGACCAGGACAGAAATATTCTTGTCTAATAATTTGCAACTGGTTTTATTTGTGTCTATTGAACCAACTTTATGAATGGCAGGGTAGAATTTTAGCACCTCAATCTAAGCTAATTTTTACAACCTCATATCCAAATAGGGCTTTTCAATTGCATATCTTCCAAGAGTTTCATTAATTATTTGTCCAACTTTCATTAGGTCTAAAAATGTTCTAATACTCCTACAAGCAGGAAAGCCTGAGATTATTAGTGCTTTGCAAAAAGAGATCCCAAGTCAAAAACTTTCTCTTGAGTCCTAACCCTATTAGAAAGGCAAACTCATATGTAAACAAAAGTTAGATGAGGGAAAAGCTCTCAAGGCAACTGATTGAGCAAGAGTCTAGGAAAGGCAGGGCTAGTCAGAATAAAACAAAACTAGATGTGTAGTTATTCTGCAGCAGTAAAAACTCTAGTGTAAACAGCCAAAGTAAAAAATACAGATAAACCCTTGCTAATATTTTGAAAAAGTCTTTTGTATTGCCTTTTTTGTGATTTGATTAAATAAAGAGGACCTCACACTATTAGATTAATTTTGGCCAAATGATTTCAGGGCCAAAGCCAAATTACATTTAAAAGTAATGACATTTGAGTGTTATGTGAGGCATTTTCCACTGTTAGAGAGAAACAGACACACCTGGAACCAGAGCGGATGACAGGCCTGCTGTGTCTTATGCTGGTTTTGAGTTAATGCCAAGAACCTCCTTGGCTAGGGAAATAAAGCTAGAATCTCTTCCAAACTCGGTCACTTAATAATTCTGTCCTTTGGCAACTGCACATACAAAGCTTCAATTATGTCATGCTATATAGATCTGAAATACCTAAAAACAAAATGAGAACAAAAATGGGAAAGTGTGAGAGCTGCAGAGAACTGAACATAGTGTCAAGTACAAGGTCAGCACTCTGGTCTATTTAAGGTCAGTATTAAAGCCAAGAAGAAAGCAGGGAGCACCAATTCTGAGATAAATCCCATGACAAGGATAATCCAATGGTAGATCCCTAGGATTTCCCCCCCTTAACTCTCTGGTCACATAATACAAGATCACTTTTTAGAAGTTGTTAGAATGTCTTCTGAAAAATCCTCTTAACTAAATTCACAGCTCCATCATTGAAAGTTATTTGTATTCAGAAGAAAAGTAACACATGAGAGAACCAAAAAGAGAGGCAAACAAGAATGTAAAGCTTGTCGCAAATACATGACCTATGGTTGTCTCCTAGAGTCTGAGTCCCTGAAAATATAAGGCACCTCAAATAGGATTTTAATGTCTAGTTTTTCATCTGGCCCAAGTAGTTGAGTTAATTGGGCAAAGCTTTCTAGTTTAGAACCAAATTACAGACACCAGTTTGAGATTTAGAAACTTAATTACATTAAAGAATAAAATAGTTTAGAGTAGGGGAAAGTCAAAGGTGCCTGGATTAAGTTTCTTTCTGCTAAATCATTGTCCTAGCACAATACATGCTTCCAATTATTTGCTGTTTCCCATGCCTTGAATGCACTTCAAAAGTCTCATGTTTCATCTTAACTAAAGACAAAGTAAAATTAGACTGCTGCTCTAACTCACGGTTAACAAACCACTTTGTTACTCAATCGAACTGTCAGTTCCCAAAGTCCAGGTGTTGGAAGAAGAAAACAGCAAATTTTAAAAAGTGATCTAGGGAAAAAGGCATAGCACCTAACTACAAGACCAAAGTGATTTAGAAGGAAGAAGTGATTTACCTCCCAGATATTCAGAAGTTGCAAAAGAAGTTTAGCCTCTCTACGTAAATCGACTTAACTAGCTGGTTGACACCTGGACCTCATTATCGCCCTTTTCATGCAGGTGTTGTTAGTTCCATGGTATTCCTATTAGAAGATTATGGCCATCAAAAGCATTCTACAGGAAAAACTGATGAAACCCCACTAGAATCTATATATTATACCAATATTGATTTCTTAGTTTTTA